CAGAAGCCGTCACTGAGGCACGGGATTCCTAGCCCTTAACCCGAGACTATCGGTGCAGGATTTCTGGTGAGGGTGCCCTGGTATCTGTACTTTCTCAAACTCACATGAGTCTCAGACACATCAAATTGTGAGAATTTAAGGGCTGCAGGTTTGCCAAAATAAATTTTGGCTTCTTTAGACTGCAAACTGTTGTAGTACACTTCCAGCTCTTCTTTCTGCCTTACCACATTTTTAACTAGTGAACATCAGAGAAATAATCGTTGCTATTTAAAGAAATATGAGGTATGCTTCACCTAAATGCTATAACTAACTAACTAGAATAATTAGCTGAACAGCAATTTGACTCTCTGAAAATTAACATGCTCTAGAATTTTGAAAAAAGAAAGCATATGGAATAGTGTTTAAAAAATGGTTTTGAGAAAGAAAATACTTGTTCATTGATTTGAGATTAATTGGCCAGTTACAGCTTTATTAAACTTTTAAATATGTGTAAGAGGAATTAATTCACCTCCACGGATCCCCAGTTTCGGATTCCAGTCCTACATTGCTCCTTTAAGTGAAGCCTACTTTGCTTTTATTTCAAAACCCTTACTCTGGTGGCCTCCAGAATTCAGCACCAATTGAGTTCTGACATTCACCATCAAACAGATTCAAATATGTTCCTAACTCAGGGACGGCTGTGAATAGCAGCCACACATATCAAGGTAGAAGGATGTTTTTTGCACAATAAAGAGAAAACAATACAGTCTCCTTCTAGAATATTAAGCTGTATCAGCAGTAAGAGAAAGTAAATGGATATATGAAATCCATCTAGGATAAAAAAGAACCAAGTAAAATGATGAGTTTACTTTATGAATTTTATCTGTCTTCCCTTTTCATGATAAAATTTAGCTTGAAATTTGAAGATAAGTGGCTCTCTGAATTTGCTTCTTAAGATTGCACGAATATTTTCAAAGGTAGTTTATTTGAAAATAAAATGTTAGTCATTCCTCCTTGAAAAAGAATTTTAAAACACTAACCTTTGTAGTGAATTGGCATACAAATCATAGTTCCAGTAACTTCATTCATTAATTCTAAAGCCTCTGCTAAGCATGAGAAAAGGATAAAATATTTATGAAGTTTATATTTCAGTTGGCTGTTAATCAAATAATTACTAGAGCACGAAGGATTTAATATATTTAGAGTTTATAATTTAGAGGGAAACAGACTCCAATACACCTAACTAAAAATGGTGAAGCAAAACTTTTATGGTCTACCCCTCTTCATTAGATAAAACTATAACAGAAATACATTTTTTTTCTGAATAAACAAAATAAGTGTTTGGTTATAATGAACTTAATTCAAAGGTATTTAAAAGTTGAGTAAAAGTTGTTTGGAGATGCATTCAAAACACATCCTAAGCTTTTTTCTTAGCCTTTTGAGAACCAAATGATTTGACTACATTGGAGAAAACTTTTCATTCTTCCTACATTATTGTGTAAGGAAGGTGATGGTGTGGCACTCCCTTTTTTTCTAGTCCTTAGAAACAAAATTGTTCTAGAAAGATAGTTTGTCAAGGAGACACTAGAGAAGAATCTTTAACAGCAATGCGCTGACCCACTTGGTGTGAGGCGTAGGAAGGAAATGATAGAGTAGAACTTACCTTGTTGGCTTAGAGAACTATCTCAAGGGTGGACCCTCCTGAGGCCATGCCCCACTGCACTCGGGTTACTTTGCATGCATGCTCCTGTGCAGTGTGATGGCGGACAATTCATGGATCGCCCTGAGGGACTTGAAGGGGACAGGGCCTAGTCCCCGTACCCTGCCATTTCTCAGTGTGGGTGTAATTGGGAACAACAGCTGTTGACAATTTGACCTCCGCATGGAAAACGCAAAATTCTTCCAAAGCCATTGTCTGTTGACCAGAGACTGTGTACAGAACGCAGAGCAGAGCAGGCTGCATTGGCTATTTTCTCTGCCCAGAGTATTTCTCCCAAAATTGGTCACTTCTCCTCTTTCAGGACTCGACCCAAAAGCCAGCTTCTCACTGAGTCCTTTCCTGACTTGAGCAATCGAAGCCGCCCTCCTTCTGTCTCCACCCTGCGTCACTCTCCCACAAAACGCTTTACTTCCTCTACAGCATGGATCACTATTGGGAAACATTTTCTTTATTTCTTTACTGAGTGTTTCCTCCTTCCCACTGAAGAGTAATTCTTCTTGAGGTTGTGACCAGTCCTGGCTCAAGAACCATTGTCATTGATTTGCAAATATTTATTGCATGTCAGAGGCTGGATGCACAATGTTCAGCAAAGCAGACAAGATCCTTGCCTTCTTGTAATAGTTTATAGTGTAATGGATGAGCCCTATATTAATCAAATAACGACAGAAACAATTGTAAAATTGTATCTGTGATCAGTGCTGGGAAGGAGAGAGACATGCACTTAGCCGTGTGGGTAATGGAAAACCTAACTGAGTCAGGCAGGTCAGAGAAGGTTTCTCAGAGGAAGTGACTTTGGAGCTAAGGTTTCAAAGATAAGCGGACAAGGAAGGGCGCGGTGGCTCACGCCTGTAATCCCAGCACTTTGGGAGGCCGAGGCGGGTGGATCACGAGGTCAAGAGATCGAGACCATTCCTGGTCAACATGGTGAAACCCCGTCTCTACTACAAATACAAAAAAATTAGCTGGGCGTGGTGGCGCGTGCCTGTAATCCCAGCTACTCAGGAGGCTGAGGCAGGAGAATTGCCTGAACCCAGGAGGCAGAGGTTGCGGTGAGCCGAGATCGCGCCATTGCACTCCAGCCTGGGTAACAAGAGCGAAACTCCGTCTCAAAAAAAAAAAAAAGATAAGCGGACATTAAGTAAGGAGATTCTAAGCTGAAGGAAATGAAAAGACCCTGTGGCAACAGGGCAAATGATGTCCGTAAGGGACTGCCGGAAGGCAGGTGCAGCTGGAACACAGGAGGCTGTGGGGAGCAGGATGCAGGGATGGATCATGGGGGTCGCCAGGGGCTGGACCAGAGCAGGGATTGGTGAGCTGTGACTTTACATCTAGTGCATTGGGAGCGATTGAGACTTCTGTGTGTGCAAATGTGGGAGTGTGTGTGTGTGCAAATGTGGGAGTGTGTGTGTGTGCAAATGTGGGAGTGTGTGTGTGTGCGTGTGTGAATGTTCATAGGCGAGGATAATCAGGCTGTAACTTCTAAAGACAGTTATGGTTATTCTGTAGAGGACAGTTGAGTAGAGAGAGAGAAAAATAGTGTAAGCAGACCGCTTAGGAGGTTATGGCAGTATGCCAAATGATGGACATTTGAATTTAAGTAGTACTCTTGAGAAAGAAAATAAGTGGGTAGACCCCAGAAACATAAAAGATATCAAATTGAAAGGACTTGGTGCTGGATTGGATAGCAAAGAAAACAGGACAACTTGCTACTTAGCTGAGTTGATTAAGGCTGCCATCATTATCTGAAAGTGAAGATTCTACAAGGAGATGTGGAGAGGTTTAGAGACCATGAACCTGGCTTTGATGTGCTAAGTTAGAAGATTTTACAGGGAGCTTGAATAAATTACAACTTGCTACACTTCTTGAATTTCCATGAGTTAGAGTTTTAGCCCTATTCAATTCAACCCGGCCGATTACCTTCACTCTTTAAAATAATTTTGGTTATCATCCTTCTTTAATAGCTACATGGAAGCCTGCAGTTTTGTCTTCTATGACTTTAAATTCTACATATTGCCTGAAGCACCAAGAAGGCCTAAACACCAACTCAAGAACTTTTACGGTCGTGAGAATTGAGGAATTGGCTGTTTGTTGGTGGTTTTATCTGTAAAATGTTTAAAGACAGTGCAAAAATGTCTTCTGACACATTGAGAAAGATTAACTAGAATTAACCAGAAGATACTGTGTTCTTTTTATTTATCTCTATTATTTTCATTTTGTAGAAACTCTGGGATAGTATGCAGAAATACTTTTCATTTTTAAAACATTTTGTGAGTTCAATTTAATGTTACTTTCTGGAAATATTTCTTTTTTAAAAAAAAAAGATATCTATCTATCTCATCTACCTCACATATGTGTGTGTTACCACTCTAAAATATTTAACAACTATATGTATTCATAGTATGTTTGATTTAAAATTTTATGTAAAATTCCATTACTTTAAACAGTAATAACTTTCAGAAACAGCAACACTAGTCTAAACTAATATGAAAGCTGTAATTTTTACAAATTACGTAAGCTCTCCCAAATAAGGTAATTTAAAAAATGATATTTTTCTGAGTAAACAAAATGCCAACTTGCTAACCTATTTTGCAAAATTTATCAAGTAACCTAAACAAGCAATCTGTTCATACATATATCAAATAATTAAGAAAAAAAATAATTTGCTGATGTTAGAGTAGAAACAGAATCTTTAAAGTTTATCATTTTGCTTCACAATATTTTTCTCTCACTTAAAAAAAAATCCATCTTTAATCATTAAGATTTAATTTAGACCCAAATCAAGTAAAATATACATACTCCTAAAATTTAACCTGCTTCTAGAAATATAGAAAATGTGTTCATGCAGGCAGCCACCAGGAAAACCACCACATGTAAAGAGTGCCGTGGATCAAAGGGATATTGAGTCGTTTCATTAACAGCTATGTAACAGAGGGACAGAAGCTTGAAGAAATGCCTTTCCCAATTGGAAAGGGTAAATGTTCTGTCTGCAATGTCTGTCACTGCCAGTGGCCAGCCTGGATGCTCTGTCCTGGTTATGTAGTTGGGTAGGAAGACATTCCTACTAAGGGTTATGTGTGCCCCACTGGGTATTTAAGGCAGCATTGGCCTCATGACTATAGTGATGTCCACCTCTAAATGAGTGAGCATCTCTAGTATCGAAGCCTTACATCATACACTGAAAACTACTTGCAAGCAATATGCAGAAACTTATCAATTGAAAATTATTAAGATTATTTACCCAATATTCAGAGAAGAGAGAGCTATTCTACTCAATGTAGGGAATATACTTATTCAGAAAATTTATTCCAGTGTTCCTTTTTATATTAACATTTATTATTTTCTAATTATACAAAATACTTGTCATATCAGAAAAATTTGGTGGCATAGAAAAATATATTAAAAAGAGAATGAAAAATGCATATAACCCCATCTCCAGAAATAGCCCCTTCAGCATTTTGGTATAATTCCTTCCAGCCTATCTTTATGTACATGCAACTTTTAAATACAACTAAAATCATACCAAATATGGTATATTATACTAATTTTAATACAATATTATATTATTATTTTCCATGTTATTAAATATTTTTTAAAATCATGAATTTTAAAGTCTATACAATGACCAGATGGTTACCTATGTGGCAATATATTTAGCAGGTAATGTACTTAAGAACACATATACTATTTCCAAACTTTATTACTTTTTAAAAACAGAATTTTGACAAATCTTTTCTAAACTTCCACATTCAATGCCCTTTAAACCAGTATGTGAAACACTGATGCATCAGTTTTAAGGCATAATAAATAAGTCACTCAACAGACATAAAAAGAATCTAACAAATTTTTTAAATAAAAATGATATGCTTAATGAAAGAGCTACTTTCTATAAATCACAACATTTCAAGTTATAGTACTTTAAAATGGTGTCTTGTTTCTAAAGGCACACTTTTCAAATATGCACCGGGTGGTAAGTACCATTTGCAGTGATAATCTTTGTGTTGAGAAAAATGCCTAAACTTCTGCTGTATCAGTGGCTGCTATGATCTTGCCTCGTAAGTGAGATCTCGGGCACATTTTTGTCTTCTTACAATGGAGAACGGTCCTGTAGTAGGTGGGCGCTGAAGGGGAGCCATTCACGTATGGACGTCTGCAGCAGGCAGAGGATCTTGACTGTCAGAATCAGCCGCTGGTGCTGTATAGGACAGGCAGCCGTTACCAACATGGTCACCGAATGGCAGCGCAAAGATACTCAGCTACAAAGTGCTCATCTGCAGTTGGGGCTGTCTTTACAGTAGTCAGTGAGGAGGGGTTACATCAATAAAACACTCTCCAGATAATTCAAATGAATAAACTTGATGAAGAGAGACGAGAAGACATCTTTCCGACAATTAGCCTTGCATTGGCTTTTTAAAATATTTTAAATAATGGTTCTATTTTAAATTTATCTTAGGTGGAAATTCATCAAAATCACTATTTTAACACTAGCATCTATGAATCCCGTTATTATAAACTCTGTCTATTCCATTTAATTAGTAGATATTCAAGTGTCTAAAATCCAAAATAAGTAATTTAAACACATTAAGTAACAACTGTCCTGCTCAGTGTGTTAGAGTTGAAAACATCTGAAAACAACTGCACACACATCCCCAATTCCACCTGTCTGGTAACTTGCACCACACAGAAGCTAATCAAGATCAGCAGTGTAATCCTAAGATTATCTAAGACAACAGCTAGACAGTGATTATTCTTTTCCTGAAGGTACTGGCAAAACAAATGTAGACCCTTTCTTCTGATTCCCAATCCATTCCCTGCCAAACAATGACCTAGTTGGGCATATGACTTCTCCAGCACCCTTGAGTGATTGAACAGGAAAGGGTGTTACGATTTTTTTTTTTTTTTTTTTTTTTTTTTGAGACAGAGTTTCGCTCTTGTTACCCAGGCTGGAGTGCAATGGCGCGATCTCGGCTCACCGCAACCTCCGCCTCCTGGGTTCAGGCAATTCTCCTGCCTCAGCCTCCTGAGTAGCTGGGATTACAGGCACGCGCCACCATGCCCAGCTAATTGTTTGTATTTTTAGTAGAGACGGGGTTTCACCATGTTAACCAGGATGGTCTCGATCTCTTGACCTCGTGATCCACCCGCCTCAGCCTCCCAAAGTGAATTACAGGCGTGAGCCACCGCGCCAGGCCTGATCTTTCTGACAATGACCTGCAAAGAGGGAGCTGTGGCACTGCCACCCTCGTCCCTCAGGTGCACTTCATAGGCAAGGCTCGCCACCTCAAGAGACAACAGTTCGTACCCTAAGTGAGTAGCGTGACACGTACCACATGCATAGTTTCATTCCCAAGTAAGAAATGCCCTTAAGCAGAAAAGGCTAAAACTCACCCAAAGCAGACAGATCTTTTACTCTCACATTTGAAAGCACAGGTTCAGAATGGAAAAAGGATTTAAACCACCAGGTGGATTCTGCCACTTCAGGCAACCCTATCAAATAAAATTCATATTACTCCTTATTAAACAAAGTAGAGATTAAGAATAAAAAGAAATAAGAGTGACACTAAAGAAATAACTAAGTACCTTGATGTGATTTGTCATCATCTATGAAGTTCATAGAATCAGAGCCCGTTAAAGAACTGACTGAAGAGATACTGGACTCTGTGGGAAACAAATGATATTAAACGAATAAATAACTAGCAACCAGACAAGCACATTCACATCCTTTACATACAAACACTCAAGGAGCCTGGTTTTAAATCATTTACTCCTGGCTTATGAATTCATGAATTAAAAAATGATTAAATTACAAATCAGTAGAAAGCTGCCGCATTAAGAAAATACTATATGTTCTACTGATAAGATAAACTCATTTCCAAGGCAGGCAACTCTCTCTCTCTCTCCATGGATATGAATGTTGAATTTAAAATGTATTGTAAATATTTTCCGATTCAAAAACTTTAGAATGAGATCAACAATAATTATTGTTGTACTACAGTAGAAATATTACATATGTATATGTTTAAAGCTCTACGAAAGTCATAAAATCTAGAAATTAAGGAATTATTTTAAAAGAGCAAGTATTTAAGCCAGGCACGGTGGCTCATGCCTATAATCCCAGCACTTTGGGAGGCCGAGGTGGGTGGATCACGAGGTCAAGAGATCGAGACCATCCTGGTCAACAAGGTGAAACCCCGTCTCTACTAAAAATACAAAAAATGAGCTGGGCATGGTGGCGCGTGCCTGTAATCCCAGCTACTCAGGAGGCTGAGGCAGGAGAATTGCCTGAACCCAGGAGGCGGAGGTTGCAGTGAGCCGAGATCGCGCCATTGCACTCCAGCCTGGGTAACAAGAGCGAAACTCTGTCTCAAAAAAAAAAGAAAAAAAAAAAAAAAAGAGAGAACAAGCATTTTGTCTTATTAGACTTGTATTTAAAACCTATGCCTCTTATAAGATCAGAATATAAAAATAACTCCTGTAGATAAATAGCACCAATAAATGAGCACAGTTTAAACTGTTAGTATAATGAATAAATCAGTAGATGTTTCTGTCACTTGCACTATGAGCAACCCTCGAAAGAGGAGTTTTCTATGTGTTGCTGCCATAGATACTTTTAATAACTACTAATTTAGTTCTAAAATGCTTATTTCATTTTAGGACATTTTTCAATCTTCTCTAAGAAGCTACAATTTTCTATTTGCCTATGAATATGAACAGATGGATAGATTAATAAAAATATAACTGGCCAGATAGAAGTTGGCCTATTCTCCATAAAAGATGGAAATTAGAAAATTTTTGAAGCAAAATCATGCTATCTTTTCTTTTCTAAGGAGTTGAATAACGCTTTATTTATATAAAATTACTCATTTTTAGTGGATCTTACAGAATGCAAGGCACATAAAATTAAAATGTAATTAGGAAACATAAGCTGATGTTCGCTGATTTATAAGGGTCAGTGACTTCACTGATATAGTGTAGCTAGAACAAAGAGAAATTCTTGTCAGCACTGGGTCAGAGAGGTCCCTGTGGCCTCCTGGTTTCTTCACTATCACCAATAGTTGCCTCCTTAAGCTCTGAATGTAACATGATACATAAGTCAACAATATCCACAAACATCACCTCAAATCATATTGTCTAGAGATGTTCTCTGTGATGATGCAACTTACTTCGATAATACTGATTTCTGGCTAGAAGACAGCCAATGGAAGGTACTGACGCCATGGCTTTACCCGTGAGAAAGCGCCCAGGAAGCTGTGAGCATCAATCTGAGAAACAGCAACCAGGAAAAGAGACGTTGATGTGAATTACAGGGAGTTTCCTTTCCCTTTCCCATGTGACTGTTAAAGTATTATCATTTGCCATGTAATACACATCTGATAAAAGGAATTTAAATGTTTACACAAAAGTTCAACCAAATATATTGCAATTAAAAGATGCAATTAAGTAGTATATTTGGCTGAAAAAATAAGAACTATACATCCAACTATAAACAATTCACAGAACTCATTCCATTGAAAACAGACCTAGAGGTCAGAGAAAAAGTGTTAACTCAGCCGTAAGGTAGTCACTCACCTATTTGTTTTCTTTAGTTCTTCTGAAATGAATGGGGTCCTAAAGTTTCTTCAGAAAATACATGCTTTGAAAGAATCAGTTCTTAGTGAGTGAAGAGAGGCTGCACCACCCACACAGGCCCAGACGCAGGCTGCAGTGACTGTGCGTGATCTGGGACCCCTGAGCACACCTTATATTTAGAAGCCCCGGGCTGGCTGGAACCTGAGCTGTGGGTGACTCGGGGTGAGGTGGGCACACAGCCAGTCAGAGGCAGCAAGCAAGGACTCTCTGCACGTCTGCCCTCCAGACGGCCAAAGGCCCTCAGAACGCGGCAGCCTGCCAAGTTCAGCAGCAGTGAGCAGGGCAGGACGTGGCCCTATGCTCTTCTGAGCTCAGCTTCTTTAATATTACAACTGCTGGTGACTGCAGAGAGGGAGGTGATACCCAAGTGTCTCCTCAGCCTTAGATACAGTCACACGCTCCACCTGCAGCACCACGCTGGGCACGTGTGGGATACACAGACGGCCTGTTGTCTGGCCGGGGAGACTGAGCATACCCGCCCACAGACACAGTGGGGCAAGGCAGAGTCCCACAGTCAAAGGAGAGCAAGAAAGAACTCGAGGGAACACTGCAGTCTTCCTGGAAGACGGACAGAGTCAGTAGAACTTGATGGACAGTGAGTTAGAAATTCTAGCAGGAATGACAAGAGACAGATGGAAATCACGGGTCATAAGAGGTTGTTGATGACATTGCATCAATATCATTCATTGATACAAAAGCTAAGTTTCATTCTGATTTTAGTTAACATTTTTCAGATCGACTACTTTGCCCTTTCATAGACTCAGTCGACTTATGGATCAAACTGTGGCTCCCTTTACATCGAATGGCGACTGCGTCTATTGCTGATTCAATTTGTTCACTGGCTACTGATTGTGTGTGGCTTGTGTATTCTTAACACAATTTTTGTAGTGTGTACATTGCTATAAAATCCTTCATGTCGGCTAGGTTTTCAAATATATTCAAAACTGTAGTATGCCATCATGGTTTTTAAAAATATTACTCCAGACATGGGACCAAAAGATAGCTACAGGATCCCACTTACCTGCGGAATTGACAAAAGTGAGAAGAGCGATTAACCAGAAGCAGGGAGCTGGGAGAGTCGGGAGGTGTTGGCCAAGGATACACAGCTGCAGTTGCGTGGGATGAATACATCTAGAGATGTAATGTACAGCAGTATTGCAGCTAATGCTATTTTACTGCATACTGGAAACTTTCCAGGAGAGTAGATTTCAGGTGCTCTTAGACACACACATACATACACACACACACACACACACACACACACACACACCCCCCACACAAAATAAAAACTATATGATATGGGTACGTTAATTTGCTTGAGTGTAGCAATCATTTTAGCACGTTTAGGTATTTCTCATGTCATGTCATGTTGTACATCTTAAATGTACGCAATTAAATAAAAAACAAAACAGACGCGCTGAGTTGGATAATTACTCTGAGTAACTGTCAATATACTGATAGTTTGGAAGCCTATGAAACAGTTTGTGAACATGAACACATTTTATTGCCTAGCAGACATTCCATAGTATCCATACGAGCACAGAATTGTCAGATTTTGTTTAAATTTTGATCGCTCTTAACGTCAGAGCAACATCTTCAACACCATTTCCCCCCAATCTATATTATTCCCATTTCCCCACAAATTCCCCTTCTCAACATGAGGAGTCTGCTTGTTTTGATATGGCTCAGATCCTCGTCTATGAACTGCAGAGTGCCTCTGATTATCCGACGGTAGGCACTTCAGGCTCTGTTACCTAGAAGACAGACAGATTTGCCCAGTTTTATTGAAGACTTGTCTTGGGAAAAAAAGTGATGAAAAAGAGTAAGGAAAGCAGGGCTGAGCAGTGAGAGCTACTGAACAGCAGGGAGCGGGCCTCGGTGGGCTTGCCCGGGAGGGAAACTCTGGCAGCGTGGCCTGGCCCCACAGCCTGTCCTTACGTCACTTGAATCCACTGTCTTTGGATACTAAGTTCATCTGTCTGGGAGCATCTTTTCAGGGGCTCAGATCGGTTCTTTTTCTGGGAAAACTCATACAAGGAAGGTGAGTAGGATGAAGTTGAATTCCTGCCACTGCCCAGGACTTGAGGTCACCGTGACTTCCCCCTCTCCGGCCTGTGTTTCCTGACCAGTACCTCTTCTGAGACAAATGGTTTACCTGGAGGACTGACTCGTATCTTCGTCCTTGAACTTTCTGAACCACTGGCTATCACACCCTTCATAAGCTACGGGTGTAGGTGGGAAAGGTGCAGTTCCACAGAAGTCCTGTTCATATGGCTCGCCCTTGGCTGCTCCTGGGAAGGAGCCTCTGGAATCTTCTGTCCCATAGGAGTGTTTTTGCATTCCGGAGGTGTCAAGCCACACGGTACCAATTGTCTGGATAGTTTATACCAATGCGTGCTCCATGGGGATCTGGCGCTTCAGGAACAGAAGCAAGTCATACGAGTGCTCCATGCCTGCAGGACCGACCTTGATAAAGACCTTGGGCTCTGAGGTTCAGGTGGACTTTCCTAACAGGAAGCATTTTGTACATGTCACACATTTTTGCTGGAAGGTTTCAGTGTGTCCTACGTGACAGCACCGGGAAGGAAAACCTAGAATCTTGTGGGACCTGATTTTCTCCAGATTTCCCTCCAACCAGGGAACGCCGTGTGTATCAGCTAGCTCCCTGTGTGCCGGGCATCCTGTGCTGCTATCCTGACCTTACCACTCACGACAATTGCATCACCAGCTTCTGATGATCGAGTGCCACCACCTCGCCTCTTTTGGGGGATCCTGTCCTTCCCATTGTAAGTGGTGGTTCCTACTCTATAACAGCACCTCCTATTCTCAGTTCTGAAAAATAGAAAAAAAAAAAGCTTCACTGATTTTCTCTGCAAAGCTGGTACTCCTCTCTCTGATGCGCTCCTTTTCATTTTGGGGAAACAGTGTTCTCTGTGAAACGCAGCCCACTAGGTTTTCTGGCCTTAAGTAGGACACCCGCTCCAGCATGCACATGGCTCTGAGGTTTTGTTTTTTAACCCTTTCCTCAACCACCACCTTGATCTGGAGGGAAAGCCCTCCAACAATTCAGAAATTTCTGTTTCACTTTGTATGAGCTATTGTTACTTCCAAGAACTATTCTCACAACATAGCGGTTTCACATGCTGGGCTTGCCAGGGTATTAGACGCCATATCATGGAAAAAATCACCCTCATCAAAAAATTCTTCCTTACCCCATACGTCTGGCACTCCTTGAGCCAGCTCCGTAGGGAACCGGTTCTGTTTGTATTCACCCATGTGCATGTTAGCTCAGCCCTGCGGCACCTTTAGGGTAGACGCCCTTTCCTATGTTAGCGGGCCGGCACTCCTTAGTAAGCTAATGTTGTAACTTAAGCAGGTTACTTGTCCAGTGGTCAGGTTAGAACATAAGTGTCGATCCAGGAAGGACACATGGTGCATCATTTTAAGCAAGGAACGAGCCTTGATTTTAAAAGAAAGGAGTTGGCCATTTCTGTAGTCATAGAGGGTTTGGAACAATCTTGCCATTCAAAACACGTTTTTAGCGCATTGACGGAAATGTCCCCATCACAAATCTCAGTGTCTGATTTCTTTCCAGAGGCGCCCTGCCCTTGAAGAAGCAGACTCTGCGCTTCTCATAGTTCAGCCTGAGGCTCACCCCTCAGCTTATTATGCCATTTAGCCGCAGATCCCTTGACCTGCTGCCAAGGAGCCATCTGACTTTCTCCTCCTCTGGCAGATTTTCTCCAGTGAATTGGCACCAGCCAGCAACAGTCAGCTCATCCCACAGCCCTATCGTTGCTGTTTCCCAGACCCTCTGCAACATCAGAGATGGTGCCACCACTGGGGTGGCCCTCCCACCGTTGCACCCTTCCAGTTACCATCTGTGGACATTTGGGGAATTGCCCCGTTTGTTTGTTTGCTAAGGCAAATGTAATAAAATACGGCCAACTAGGGGGACTTAAACAAAAGATGTGTATTTCCCACAGTTCTGGAGGGAGAAATCCCAGATCAAGTGTCCACAGGGTTGGTTTCTTCCACGGCCTCTCTCCTGGGCTCACAGTCTTCTCTCTGTGGGTCTCTGTGTCCAAATTCCCTCTTCTTATGAGGATGCCAGTCACATTGAATTAGGGCCCACCCTGATAACCTCATTTTAACTTAATTACCTGTGTAAAACCCTATCTTCAAATCCAGTCCTATTATAAGGTTAAGACATCAAGATCTGAGTTTTGGGGAACACGATATAGCCCATGCCATCCTGTGTGAGCTTGCCATAAGACTATGGGTCCCCACCTGTCACCCATGACAGGGTCCACACTGCCAGCCAACTGAAGGGTCATCAGCTCCAACAGCTCAACCCTACTCCTAAGAGAGTTTTGGTCTCTCACTGGGCAACCTGAGCTCTAGGTAGGGGGAGTTTGCTGAGGCATGAGGGAGAGAGTCCTTGAGCATCACCTTTGCAAATCACCTCTCTTTGCAATTACCTCTTGATATCACTCAGACAGTTTACCAGTTATAAGTAAGTTTCAAACACAAAATGTATGCTAAGGGGAAAAAAAAAGTTTGTTTTTGAACATGAATTATCCATTTTATAAAATATCTTGCATTACATCAATTTTGAGTTTTTTACTTTACCTATGAATGCATTACAGTTTTTGAAAATAATATCCATATTTTCTGACATAAAATTTCACACATCCAGTCATTTTTTCTGCTGATCCTTTAGCTAAACTTATACAAAACAATTTCCTAGTCAGAATTAAAAACAAACATGGGCCAGACGTGGTGGCTCACACCTGTAAACCCAACCCTTTGGGAGGCTGAAGCGGGCGGATCATCTAAGGTTGGGAGTTAGAGACCAGCTAGACCAACATAGAGAAACCTCATCTCTGCTAAAAATACAAAATTGGCCAGGCGTGGTGGCACATGCCTGTAATCCCAGCTACTAGGGAGGCTGAGGCGGGAGAATCACTTGAAGCCAGGAGGCAGAGGTTGCAGTGAGCTGAGATTGCACTACTGTGCTCCAGCCTGGGCAACAAGAGTGAAACTCCATCGCAAAAACAAACAAAAAAAACAGCGATGCAATAAGCTT